ATATCTATTTCATGCTCTCAGTACAGCTGCAATCTTAGGAGTAATTACGAAGAAATAATTCCCACAATGTTTAGTTAGGTTTCTTTCAAATAATTTGTTTAGAATTAGGCTGTTTGTTTGGGATTGTATAGTCACTTACCATTATGACCATGGCAAGAAGTGCATTGACTTTCTGGTCTATGGGCCCAGCTTGGGCAGCTGAGGTTTCTCAGAGTGCTCTGTCCATTTCCCTATCATGCTCTTCCATTTGGCCCCTGATCACGGATCATTTCCTGGTTTTCCTTCCTATTCTGAAAGGTTAAAGTATTTCTTGTAAGACTTTGTTACTAGCAGTAACAGCTGTAAGCTAAAATATGTTGATCGTAATATCTAGTTCACACTTCAGTCAAGTACAATCTTAAGCAAATTTACCGAGCAATAATTCCTATAATATTTAGTTAGCCACACAGAAACCCCTTTTGTATTTGGTCATACCCACCACTGGAATATGGTCCTTTCTCTGAAAAGAATGTTGTCCTTGAGCTGAAAGTGTTTCAACACTGTGGAACCATTGTCACAGTTGAACAAATATACACATGAGTAATTTTTTCCTTAAAAAAAAAAAACACACAACACCCTTTTACTCTTTTATTTGCGACACAAAACTAACAACAAATTTTAAAAGCCAAAAGAGGAGGGAATGGAATACATCCAATAAAACATAGTAATATACAATAATCATTTGCATGTCCCTTGAAACAGGGGAAAAAAGAAAGAATTAGGAGGGGGAAAGGATTAATATTTTCATTTCAAGTATATACATTACTATAAACAGGTCCCATTACTATAAACAGGTCCATATAGCTAAATTAGCTGCATGACTTTGAGTGAATTTCCTAATATGAGGCAATCAACTCATTAAAGGTCACTCCTATATATATGCTGCAATAAAGAAATATCCTTATTTTTTAACAAGTTTTATATACTATTCGTAGCTCATGAGGTTTCTGAGTGGTTTACAACATATAAACATAATTAAAATACAATACAATTTTAAAACAACAGTTCAGGCGGCAGAAGCCATGCCCTCATAAGCCATCATCTCCTTTTAGTGCCCAATTGATATGATAGTGTTAATTAAATCCAGTGGCAATGAAAGTAATAATAGATCAGTGAATATACATATTATAATAAATTATAATAAATAATAAATACAAACATAATAATAGTAATCACACTTATAGTCACAGCCTTCTAGTATGAGGACTGGGAAAGGATTGGCTTTGTTTGGCACTAAGCTGGCATTTTATTTCCAGAGGAGTTTTGCAGAATGACACTTACCATATTTTTCGCTCTATAAGATGCACCTGACCATAAGATGCACCTAGTTTTTAGAGGAGGAAAACAAGAAAAAAAATATTCTGAATCAAATGGTTTCCTAAACTATTTAATAAACTATAACAGAATACAGTAATACCGTATTTCAACCTTGTAAAGTGAACAGCAGTCAACAGTGGCATTAAGAACCATCATCACTGTCATTAACAAAAGAGAGACTTTAAAGTTCGAGTACTCTTCTAGTTTTCGTTGAACCCAAAGAACTCATCGTCACTAGAGGCAGAATTTATGAAGCTCTGTTGTTCACAATCACGACATCACTTTCTTAGTCAGTAGTGGAATTATTGAAGGAATCCACAATCTACACCAGTTATACAAGAGCTGCTGCAGACAATTCAATAACAAATCTAAAAAAGCCAGTAATGTCCACGCTGCCCTACTAGTAAATAATAGAAAAAAACTTCTGACAAAAAATGAGATATTGTACGGTAAATCAAACACACAGCGGACTAAGTAGCCTTTGAAGAATAAACTTCATACACGAAGGTAATGCTGTTCAAATATCCACTGATCCTAAAAAAAAATGTGTCTGATCAACTAACAGATAACTGATCCATGGAAAGCTTCCTGATAATCACAGGCACATGCCCCATCACTTCCCCATGGGCTTCATTAAAAGACGGGTTGCCATTTGAAAACACACACCGGCCTGTGATTAACAGCTCTCACCTGTGCCGGAGGAGGGGGTTGGAGCAGGGCGCGCTGAGCACGTGCCGGCCAGGTGGTGCCACGTGGGGCCGGCAGTGGTCTTCCGGGCAGTGCGGCAGCAGGTCTTCCCAGGCGGTGGGGGTGAGCAGTCCGTCTCTCCATGCGGCTGGTGGGTTAAAGCCCGCGGCTCCTCCTCCTCCGCACTGCTCCCCGAGTGGCACAGCTCTCACCTGTGCCGGGGGGGCGGAGCAGGGCGTGCCAAGCACGTGCCGGCCAGGTGGTGCCACATGGTGCAGGCGGCCAGCAGCATCCCGGGCGTCAGGCACACACATTCGCTCTATAAGACGCACAGACATTTCCCCTTACTTTTGGGGGGGGGGGGAGTGCGTCTTATAGAGCGAAAAATACGGTAGATACTATAAAAGCAGCTGTGAAAAAATTGTCCACTGCCACCTCCGCGCCCTGGCCTTTGCCTCTCTGCTTGCTCTCTTGCATTATCAGTGGCACATTCATTCAGATGGCAACACGGATCTGTGTTGACAGGGAACTTAGCACCCTTTGGCTATCACGGGCTTCCGGACATTGCACAGGCTCTGCCTTGAGAGAACTCTAAAGCACAGCGCACAATCTGTGAGCTGCAGGTAGCCCCCTCCCAGCCCTAATTATCGTCCCTGCTGTGCCACCACATCCACTACCAAATTTGCTACACCAGGGGCAGTATTTGACATGAATATTTGAAAGGAAGGGATTAAAGCAAATTTAATGTAATGTTCATTATAGAATATGTGAAAATGCAAAGCTTCTAAAAATTTAAAGATGCACTTCCTTTACATTTTTTTCAATTGAAGAAGGAAAAAGTGGTACTGAAAACTGCTGACATAATAATAAACTTTAGTTACCCAAAGTAGTGTGCATGATATACTGAAAACCACTGATCTACAACACTGAAACTGCCAAACATGTTTCATACTGTATCTGCAACTGGCAGCTAATGAACTTATGACATGGAGCATTGCTGGAAGCAAATAATGACAGAAAGGAACAGACGACATTTAGTACTTGTAACAGATCCTGGACTAACCATGGCTTTGCTCTGTTAAGGGAAGCTTCCTTAGCTGCTAAGGGTTCTTCTAAATGGAGGTTTCCTAGCACTACTAGTCCAAAGACTTTGTGCAGCTATTCCACTTTGTTCTCCTTAATGGACTTTTTGTAGAAAGAAAATTCTACAGTGGGGGAAAGTAATCATGGGAGAGTTAGAAGTAGAAGGTGATACTGTGTTCAAACCCACACAGAAATTAATATTCCATAAATGGTGCTGGTAATTCCCTTATAGCCTCATCTTAAAGCACCCAAAGCTGCTCTGATGGTGTGGGATGATCATGAAAATGGAAACTTCTGAGATTGAGAAAGTAGGAAGTTCAATAACAATGGGAAAGGCTATGCTTATGGAACTTCATGCAAGCTCCCAAGAATGTGTGACAAACCATAGGCCTGGAGGAACATGAAGATAAAAGAATGCAGTGAATATTGATTTAATGGATTACATAACTTGTGACTCTCCGTATGTTTTGGTCTGCAGCTCCCATGATCCCACACCATTGACTATGTTGCCTAGATGCTGTAGGCTAATATATATAGAAGGCCACAAGTTGCCCATCCCAATCAAGCATTAGTTAGATTTTTGGTAGAAAAATGTGGTGGTCATTTACATGTGCTGCAACTGGCCAGCTTCATTCAACAGCCACTTGTTATTCACTCATCTTCCTGGTCCACTTTCGCAAGCTTAAAACATCCTTGGGGACATAAGTGGGCACTTCTATTTTAAACTCACACCAAAAGCTTTTTGCTATGAACAGATTAAGCCATGCACACCAAATACTTTATGAGACTTGTGAGGGCTGTATTAAACTTGATCTCCGAGGCCTTGTGACCTCAACAGATGGTAGTTCTTGTAGACCAATTGGAAGTTACAAAACTCCAAACACCCACTAGTGCAAAAATACAGGTGTTTATTTGATGCAATACACTTGATAAAAATACACTGACTTGCTACATGTAAGATAAACCTGATCAGACTAACAGCTGCAAATTTCATTACTAAGGCTGCAATCTATAGACATTTACCTGGGAGTTCTCTGAACTCAGTGATCCTTATTTCTAAGAAAACTTGCCCACTTAAGAGTGCAATCCTGTGTGTGTGTACCCTGAAGTAATTCCCACTGAGTTCTATGGCACTTGCCCCCAGTTAAGTGTCATTAGCAGGGCAGCCTTAGTTATTTGTTATGATAATCATGAAGTCATGTCCAACCCATCACGACCCCATGGACAACATTCCTCCATGCTCTCCTGTCGTTCACCATCTCCCGGAGTTCACCTAAGTTATTTAAGCATACATAAATGTCTACTACCTGTTTTTCTCCAAGAGTTTTGAAATGATATATATTTTCTCTGTTCTGTTGTTTGTATTGTTTTCCAAAACTAGTTACAGGTATAACATAAATTTCTCCTGTAGAGCAACAAAAACCGTAACATAAATAATGTTCCTAGTCAGGAAGTATATAAATTTTGTCCTTGCAGTTGAAAGAGTAACCTCTTAAAAGCAAGTATCGGAAAAATAGGTAGAATTCGGTTTTGGTGTTCTTGGTTCGGCTTAAAGCCGATATACCTATGAGCAACAAACAGCTCCCTGTTGTTCAAGTGTTGTGCGAACAATCTGGGTCTAGCCGCGCTGACAAACAACAATCCCTTTGCCTGCCAACATATTTGCTTTTTCAAAGGCCAAGCGATTTCTTTTAGCACTGCCTGGCCGGGTCACGTCAACACCGGAGCCTGCGAAGTCCCGCTGCGTTCAGAAGAACAATTAACAGAGCGTTAGAGAAGAGAAACTACATTTCCCAGCAAGCAACAGAGGGAGAAGTCCTGCTCAGGCCGCTAACCGAGGCTATATAAGCGGCTCAGACGGCGCGCGTTTTAGACAGTCGCTCGTGGCTGCAGAGGATAGTGTTGCTGGTTGCTTATTTTCTTCCTCGGGGGTGTCGTTTGTCACCTTGTCTCAGCGGAGGGAACAAACGGCTCTTTTCGGGTTGTTGGGTCCTTCCGTTATTCTGATTTTTTTTCGATGAGGCCAAATGAGGCTGTGGAGGTGCCCGCGTTGGCGGCGCGCCTGGAGGAGCTGAAGCGGCGAGCAGCCGAGTGCATCGAGGCGTCGTCGGAGCGCCTGGCCGAGCTGAGCCGGGAGATCTGGAGCCGGCCGGAGCTGGCCTACGAGGAGCGTCATGCTCACGCCGCCATGACTCGCTTCTTCGCCGGCTGCCCCTCGCCCACCTCGCCGGCGGCGGCGTGGTCGGTGCAGCGCAACTACAAGCTGGAGACGGCCTTCCGGGCGGACTGGCAGTGGGACGGGATCCCCGGCGAAGCTGGCCAGGTGCTGCCTCCGATCCGCGTGGGCTTCTTATGCGAGTACGACGCCCTGCCCGGCATCGGTCACGCCTGCGGCCACAACCTTATCGCCGAGGTGGGCGCCGGGGCCGCCCTGGGCCTGAAGGGCGCCCTAGAGAACATTCGCCAGAGCTCCGCTGCCGGACCCGCCCGACAGGCTCCTGCAGTCCAGGTGAGGCCAGGCCCGGGAGAGAGGCTGCTCCCCCGTCCTCCGGGCACCCCCTGCTCCCTTTCCCTCTATGTGGGGCCTATTCTGCGCTTTCGAAGGTGGTTCTTCGGGAAAACCGCCTGGATGCTTCCCTGAAGGGGGCTCTTTCTCCCCCGCCGCCTGACCCGGATGAACCGGCTTCCGCGCCGCGGGTCTCCTGGGGCTCTCCTTCGCCTGTTGTTTTTCAGGAGCCTGACCGCTGGTAACCTTGTGCTTTCAGGTCACGGTGCTCGGCACTCCCGCTGAGGAGGATGGAGGAGGCAAGATAGAGTTAATCAAAGCTGGGGCTTTCGATGATCTAGATGTTGTTTTCATGGCTCATCCCTCCCAAGAAGATGCAGCCTATTTGCCTGATGTAGCAGAACATGAGTGAGTAAACTGGAACGGGAGGCGCTGTGTGCTTTTTCGGGGTGGGGGAGTGCAGGACGGAGGGCGAGAGAGCCTCTAGATTTTTATCCCCTTTGGGGTTGTTGTTATTCAGCATCATAATTCTGAAAATTGCTTGGAATACCTTGTTCCAGGTGCTTTTATCAACTGTCAACCCACATGCTAGCCAGCATCTAGTTTTTCTGGAGGGCTCCATTGAGAAGGGGGCAATGAATGACAGAAGACCACATCAGGACTGGTTCTCTGGGGCAGCTTTTGGGACCCCCACACCATGCCTGGAGTAGTGAACACTGAAATAACTAGTGAAACTCTCCTGCCACTTTTTCTTTTATACTCCATATTTGTCAATATATTCAGGTATAAACTTCTTTTTGTGATAAGACATGTATAGCTATAATACCTATTATTGGCACTTGCAATGGTGCTGGTTATGTTTACATTCTTTCTGCAGTTGCTCATTTGGAAGCAGTTCAGATTACACATGGTTTTTAAAGGAGTTTGTTTCAATGAATGCTCTGTCATTCTCATTATGAAACTTCTCCGGAAATAGGATCTCATGTTTGCTTACAGTATAGAACCAAAATGTCCTGTGACTCAAAGCAGCATGGTTGAATATTTACCATATTTGACAGGGTCTGTCTGTATTTAGATAAACATTTCTCCATAGGAAACATATGTTATGTTATTCACGAAGTCATGCCCGACCCATTGCGACCTCATGGACAGCATTCCTCCAGGCTCTCCTATCCTCCACCATCCCCTGGAGCCCACCTAAACTCACACCAACTGCTTCAGTGACTCCTCTAGCCACCTCATCCTCTGCCGTCCCCTTCTTTTGTCATCAGTTGTTCCCAGCATTAGGGTCTTCTCCAGTGAGTCCTTCCTTCTGATTAGGTGGCCAAAGTATTTGAGTTTCATCTTTCATATCTGGTCTTCTAAAGAGCAGTCAGGGTTGATCTCCTCTAAGACTGACTGGCTTGATCTCCTTGCAGTCCAAGGGACTTGCAGGAGTCTCCTCCAGCACCACAATTCAAAGGCCCCACTTCTTTGGTGCTCAGCCTTCCTTATGATTCAGCTTTCACAGCCATTCACACCCCTTCATGGATCACTGCCTTGCTGTGGCAAAGGGGCTTGTGTAGTGCAATGAAGCTATGGGCTATGCCGTGCAGGGGCACCCAAGACGTTCAGGTCATAGCAGAGAGCTCTGACAAAAGGTGATCCACTGGAGAATGAAATGGCAACCCACTCCAGTATCCTTGCCATGAAAACCCTATGGACAGTATCAACAGGAAACATATAGACATATTCAAAATAAACAAATGGAAATGATGCTGAGTCACAAAAGGTTTTGAATTATACTAATCCAGATAAAGTATACTTTCTCTCAAATACTCTTTAATGAGGCTTTTGAATGTTAACACACAAACCCAGAATACACAGTAATTGTCATGATAGGCCATAGCAGTATCCTATTTCTCTATTCTATTTTTTGGCTGCCCAAATGCTGCAGGGAAATCACTCTGTAGGTATGATAGCTGTGTTGAATGCCCTCAACATTTGGAAATCTGTGGCATATTGCAGATACTGCAGTGGCAGATGAGACACAGTGCCTTAGTTTTGTTCTTCATAATTAATCACTCACACCAAGAGATTCTGTAATTGTGAAATTTTAGTATGATTGTCATATAGGTGCAGATTTAGGAAGGCCATGGCTGCTTTTCACTCATTAAATTGCTGGTAAATAAAATAAAGTTTACTGTTGGATATAGTGTATGGTTTTCCCATTTTTTAAATGAGCTTACCCAAGCAGACAACTTGTAACTATGAAGAGTGCTTCCTGACTTTTCAACAGTCGCATAACACCTTTATAGAGATTTAAGATAAGAGGCTTGACTTGGCCCTCCTTTGTTCTTGAACAGCTCTGGAATAATATTTAATGCAAAAGCTATAGACTTCAAAATGAATTATTGGTTTTGTGTAAAATCTGAATGATTTAGATCAGTACTATTAATTTTTTAAGAGTGATAACCTCTTTTGAAACTTGTCAGAAGTAAAATCCCAAACACAGTCTAGGTAGCCTTTACTTAATCCCATTGTTTTTCATGCTTTCTTGTAGATGATCTATCAAGATCAGTCTTTTGAGGTTGTCTTCATTTGTGGAACATAATTTTGTAGTGTGAACACAGTATATTTGATACTTTAGTCTCTATTCAAGGAGCAGTAATTGTAGTAATTTGTGGGGGTGGGAAAGAGAATTGATGTAAATCATTATGCCAAAGAATTAAGATAATTAGAAAATCAGCTTTTATTTTAAAATACTTTCAGGTACATTGTTAAATTGTTAGCTTTCTTATCCTTGCCCTTGCCTAACAACAAGTAGAAAAGTAATTTTCCATTATTTTGCAAACTCAGCTGAAATAACTGTGCTGTGGTAGTTGATTTTTGATACTCTTTCATGAGTCAATATTAAACTCACACTATTAAACTGAAAAATTTGGAATTGAGAACAGGTTTTTAAGAGGAAAAAACCCCACTAGAAAACAAGCTTGCTTGCTTGCTTTATTTTTTTATTTATATTAGGAATGTATATCCAGTCTTTTTCATTGATCTCAAGGGTAGCTAACCAGTTTTTTTTAAAGAGTAGAAAATAAAAGCAAAGCGTTAGTAAAAATGAATTTAACACAACAAATCAATTAAAAGAGAGACCAAATATAATAAAGTACCATGAAATAACATTAAAATACTTAGTGCAGAATTTCCCTTGTGCCTACTATATAGCAATGACAATGAAAATGCCTCAAGACCACATACCACAGTTTGGTTCCTGGCAAAGAAAAGAACACAGACTAACTGCAGGTGGTGGGGGTACATGAAGAAGGGCCTCTGACAAATTTAAATGGACTGTTTTTGAGCCATATAAGCATTTTGGACTGCATTAATATAAGTTTCATTTCCACATTATGTGAAATATTAGTTCCTTACTCAGCACTGGTTAGGCCTCTTCTGGAGTACTGCAGCAATTCTGGACACCATATTTTAAGAAGGATGCCAACAAGCTGGAAGGGGTATAGAGGAGGGCAACAGGGATGATCCAGGGACTGGAAACAAAACCCTGTGAGGAGTGTTTGAAATAACTGGCCATTCTTTTAGCCTTGAGAAGAGAAGACTGAGGGTAGATATGATAGCACTCTTGAAGTACTTGAAAAGTTGTCACAAAGTGGAAAGCCAGATCTCTTCTCAATCATCCCAGAGCACAGGTCACAGAATAACAAGCTCAAGTTTCAGGAAGCCCATTTCCAGCTGAACATCAGGAAGAACTCCCTGACTGTTAGAGCAGTACAACAATGGAACCAATTTCCTAGAGAGGTTGTGGGCTATCCCACACTAGAGACATTCAGGGTGCCGCTAGACAGCCATCTGAGAGGGAAGGTTGAACTTGGAGGCCTGCACTGAGCAAAATTGGCCCCAGGGGCCTCTTGGCCCCTTCCAACTCTACTGTTCTTTGGTTATTTAAAGTGTATTTGCCAACTCTTCAGGTGAAAATAAATTCCAGAGCAACTTATAGATGTTTATCCCACAGAACAGCTCCCATCCACAGGCTTAGAATGTGAAGGTCATTAAAGATAAGGAGGGAAGAGAAAAACAGATTCAGACACCACTTCATGCCATTGCCTTCTTATTTCTTTGAAAGAAGACAGGATATCAGGTTTAGTATTGCTGTGTTCATCAGCAGTACTGAAGCCCACAGCATGCGACACATGATACGCTGTAGAAAAAACATTTCTATCTGCTATGAAGTGATAGTATCAACTATTTAGTTATAAATGCAGCAATAAGCACAGGCATTTGAGAATTAGTAATGGAGTAGCTGCCTGCATGATTAAGTTGAGATGGAAATGACATCCTGTGCTTGTAAAATATTAACTATTGTTGCTCATGCTATGGAACTTTGTAGCCTAGTCTGACCATAACAGGCTGAGTTGTTAAGCTGTTCTCCTTGTGTGTACCAAGTACAAACTATTAGGATTATTCAAGGTAATGCTGAACGTAGATGATCCTGATAAACTACATATCCACCAATGATTTTGGTTTTCTGGAAAATAATGCTCTAAATTATGTTATCTGATTTAGCAGGTTATTCTTATTCCCCATCAGAAATTCACTCTCAATAAGAACACAATATAGCTAATAAAATGCAATCCATGTCGAACTGATGTGCAGTATAAATATATCAAACATTTTCTCTGTAGCTACAAAATATTTGAACTGAAATATTTGCTTGGGAGAAATTAAATTAACCATACAATATAGCTTAAATGTTATGTTCAAACACATGCAAATTTTCATAGGGAAATTACTTTATTGAAATATTTGTAAAGTGTAAATATAATCTCCTTCATGGATCTCCTTGTTGTGGCAAAGGGGCTTGCGTAGCTCAATGAAGCTATGAGCTATGCCGTGCAGGGTCACCCAAGGCGGACAGGTCATAGCAGAGAGCTCTGACAAAACATGATCCACTGGAGAAGGAAATGGCAACCCACTCCAGTATGTTTGCCATGCAAACCCCATGGGAGCGTACCAAAAGGCAAAAAGATATGACGCCAGAAGATGAGCCCCTCAGGTCGGAAGGTGTCCAATATGCTAATGGAGAATAGCAGAGGGCTAGTACTAGTAGCACCAGAAGGAATGAAGCAACTGGGTCAAAGGTGAAAGGGCACTCAGTTGCCGATGTATCTGGTGGTGAAAGGAAAGTCCGATGCTGCAAAGATCTATACTCCATAGGAACCTGGAAGGTAAGATCCATGAATCAAGGCCAGTTGGATGTGGTCAAACAAGAGATGACAAGACTGAACATCGACATCTTAGGAATCAGTGAACTAAAATGGACAGGAATGGGTGAATTTAATTCAGATGACCATCAGGTATACTACTGCGGGCAAGAATCCCTCAGAAGAAATGGAGTAGTCTTCATAGTCAATAAA